GTGAAAACAAGAGATTCGCAGTCTCTCCCCAAAATATTTTGAAATTGTCTCGACTACCTTTCTCCCTTCAACCATTTATATCGGCTACGGAGTAAGCTCATAGCCGTTGGTCCTTGTTTTCATTTCGGGCTTAGGCCAGTTATAATCTCCCTCCAACTTAAAATAAGGGGCCCGTGGCCCTATTCATTCCAACCCATTAAGGATGAGAGCCATCCATCCACCTGGGTCTAAGCACCATTTTTCAAGAATCCAACCATATACAAATATATGGTCGTTATGATGAGGCCGATATTAAAGGAGAATTACGAATTTTTGTCCCACTAATTGGTTCAAATTAAAAACATATAGAGTTAGCTCATAAGGGGATTTCACTGAAAGCAAAATCCATAACACCAACATTGCAACCAAAGATAAGAAAACACCACCACCAAAGACTCAAAAACAAATATATGCGAAAATTCTAACTACAATGGTCCGCTGTCCTCAATAGCTGACAACACCCCCTACTTCTGATACCCAAACTCTTCCATATGATTTGAAAATTTTAAGAAGATGACACCATATCGAAATGAAGGCAAGATGAAAAAGCAGCATAAAATGTCGAAATGCCCCCCAGGATTGAAGGCCCTCTACTCAAATGCATCATCATCGTCATCAGGAAGAGGCTGACTGGCTGCTGCGGCAAGCTCAGCTTCATGCCTACAAACAAACCAGAAGACGCCAATGTTAAACAAGAAATGAATCAACTAAGCGTAACGATGTTGAAAGCAATATCATAGATATGTTGATTTTCATAACTTAGAAAGAAAGAATCAATCCAATTAGGTTGCTTAAAATCCTTCTTGCATGTAATACAAGGCCAGTTAAGTACTCATAACCCTCATAACTGCAGGTTAAATAATGATAGTTGAACACAAAATAAGTTGCCGGGATAATATCTTACTGTTGCTGTGCAGCCAAGTCAATGTGTACTTCTGGAGGAGCAAGAGCAGGAGACTCCACAAAGTGAAGATTAGCATCCCTAAAATCAAAGGCATCATCAAATATTAGGCATCATCACAGCATTAGCTTTACAGTAATCATGCAAGAAAGTAATGTTGCATTACCCTGCAAGCTTCCTGGCAAGGTACAAGAAAGGCTTCTCAAAATTGTAGTTGCTCTTGGCAGAAATTTCGTAGTATTGCAGATTCTTCTTCCTGTGGAATGTGACCTGCTTTGCCTTGACCTGCCTGTTCTTCACATCAACCTTGTTTCCACAGAGAACAATTGGGATGTTCTCACAAACCCTGCAGTTGCAACAACATAGTTACATAAAGCTGTTATAACAGAACCACAAAAAAACCCCAACAAAACCATATATGACAAGATTGTCAATTAATTTTAACACACCTGCAAAGATCACGATGCCATGTAGGAACATTCTTGTATGTTAAGCGGGCCGTAACATCAAACATTATAATGGCACATTGCCCGTGAATGCTGCACCACATAATAGAGAGGTGTAAGAAATCATGCTTGTTTCGATGATACCAAATAGCAATAAAATGTTACAGAAGAGTGTGGAAAGTATAATATCTTGGGTTAATCAAGAAAAAGCCATGAACAAGCTATGGTATAAGCCACAGGGCGGTGACAATGAAAACAATATCTTTGAACTTTATGTTAAAAGAATTTCAATGCTAGCACATACGATAACACTACAAAGCTATTTATCAGCAGAAATTATCAATGATAATGGATAATCATAAAGTGCAGAAACATGATATAAATAGGTGATGCATGTAGCCAACAGAATATTAACTAGTTCAACCACAATTGATTATAAAGTATAAAACAAAAGGCTACCAAATGTGAACAATTAACAAAACACTTACTAGTAACCATCTCTGAGGCCACCGAACTTCTCCTGTCCAGCAGTATCCCAGCAGTAAAAACGGATTTTTCCACAGTTTGTGAAGAAGTCCAATGGGTGAACCTCCACACCAATGGTTGCTGTACAATCAAAATGATAAAACACTTCAGTAAACACTTATAACAAGCCAATCAAAGGCTCAAACAGCTTATACATCAAATAGAACTTTTCCCAAAACAAAGTTCATCAAACACTTACGCTCATATTTCTTTTCAAACTCTCCAGTCAGATGCCTTTTCACGAATGTTGTTTTTCCTGCACCATCACAACAAGTTCAATTAAGTCCAAAATACTGAGTCCGTGTAATCAATAAAAAACTTTATTCCCATGACTACGTAAAGAAAAACCTCACTCAACGCTTCATATTAATTTTAAGAGTAAGACTCCAATATATTTACAGGCTTTCTTTTCCATCGAATCACAAGTCTTTGAAACGAAATGGTGAAATTAATATATATTGGGGACTTGACTTACTCTTTAAGTTCAAAATCTGAAATTATTAGCATGCAGTCCAACCATTTTATAAATCTCCTTAAACAATTATGTACAGTAAATCGAAACCATCAACATCACAACTCGTCGTATACCGCATTAGAGGAATAGTTACAAGATCAAATTTAATCGTATAACAAAATTAATAAAAAACCCCTTCGTAATTGCAACCACGAGTAAAGAACAAAAAAAGAAATTACCAGTTCCTCCATCACCTACGATCACGAGCTTGAAGCTCGGATAATCAACAGTCTGTTGGTTTGGCAAAGCCTAAAACACGAAAAGAAAAAAAAAAGACAAAACAACAAAAATCAAGATCCATCTCAAACTAAAACCCTAGATGATGAAGATATCAAACACTAACAAAAAAAAAAGAAAAGAGAAAGAGCTAGAGATTTCACCATTGATTACGAAACTCGGAAGACGCAGAGAGTGCGAACGAATCTACGAAGCCCCTTTTGTTTGGCGAAGGCAAAGAATGCAGATGAAGGGAAATGGAGTGATTTGGGAAACGGCGATAGCGAGGGTTTATAAGAGTGAGGGCTTTTCAGGGTCTCAGCTCTTAGGCTGGCTTTAAATTGACGCAACTCTTTCTGCCGTTGGATTTGATCACTCCAGCCTTTTTTCCGCCTCTTTTGTTAAACCTATTTACCGTCCGATCTTTCTTTCCGCATGGGGTCCACTTACTACTATGCCGCAAATTTTTTTTCGGTCTTGAAGGGATGGAATGGTAATTTTTGGTAATATCATGTGAACAAATTAAAGATATTTTCGACGTACTTTCCATTTGTAATCTTAGCAACGTACCCATCCTTGCCAGCTCAAGCTTAATTTCAAAGCAAATGCGCACCATTTTTTCTTCTCCTCCTTTTTGCGGTTTGTTTTTGTTCATTTGGGTTATAAAAGTAATCGGAAAACACAAAAGAATTAGGTGTCCTTTTTGAATAATCCTAAATTATAAGTCATGGAATAAATTTAGAGGAATCAATCAAGTGAATATTACGAGAAGTGTTTGGTTTTGTTCTTAGTAGTACATTGATCGACTTCTAGCCCCCCCAAATGGGGGCAATGCACTTTCTCCAAGCCTCCCAATTACTTCAAAAGTCCAGTACTGCATTCTTATTTTATAAAAGGGAACATGTTTCCCAATCGACTATGGATAACTAATTTTGATTTGCTGTCATAAAAGCTCAGTTTCCAAACATTTCTTGATTTCATTGGTGATATTTCTTTTTTAGCGTTATTGGTGTAATACTATTTGTTTTACACACATATCACATTTACCTCTCAAAATTAAACAAGTGTGATTTAATTATAATTAATTTTTTAAAACATATTGAGACATATTTCTTTTATCTCATGACTCAAATATGTAATTTTTAAATAAAAATCTCAAATATTATGATGTTATATAGATTTATATTTAGAATTGTCCAATTGATTAGGTTATGTCTATGTGACAATAAAAAGAAATATTAAAATTTAAAGTGACGTTTGATACTTTACAATATAATGCGATTGCAAGTAATGTAATTGCATAGAAAATAACATTACAATGTTTGATATACAAGTAAAATAATAATTAAAATATTAAAAAGATAACATTATAACGTTTGGTTTATAAATATTTTATTGAAAATGTAATATTAATTATTAAAATTATTCTTATTTATTAAAATGTAAGTTTAACATACTTATATTTTTATTATTAATTTTTATATAATATCATCTTTTAAATATATTTTTAATATCATATATTTTATTTTTATTTCTTATTATAATCTTATATATTTTATTTTTATTTTTTTAATCTAATTTTTTATATTATATATTTTATTTTAATTCCTAATTCTTATATTATATTTTTATTTTAATATTTTTTATTTTAATTATAACATTACAAAATGTTTTTAACAAGGTAATAAAGTTAAAAGGTAAAAATATCTTTTAAAAACATTACAGTGTATAATGTAATATGATTGCATTGGTTTTAGACTGTAATTATATTACATCTCTTAACTGTAATGTGATTGCATTGCAATCTTACAATATAGTGATTTGTTACAAAATAAATATTATAATATAATTTAATTGAATACATTACAAACAATGTGCTCTCACTTCTCTGGTATCAAAGTTACTTAAGTGTTAAGTTTACAATCGTATATTGAAAATTCATCCTAATTAATTATGATTTATATTTTTATGCATAAATAATACATGAAATCCGTAAATGCATGATTATGTCTCAATAAGCTTGCGGACTTAATTCATGGACATATATATTTTTGTTATCAAAATAATACTAATATTTTTATATCTTTAAATATATTTAAAAATGTTAAACTAAATAAAACATATTAGTATTATTTTGTTTGATAAAATGCTGCTATTACGTAATAAGTAATAAACCATAGACCAATTAAAATAAGATATGGACCCAAACGGGTAGCGTTTGGGCTTGAAAGGATAGCCCACCCAGGCAGTTTAATTTTTAGGTCACAGCCTAAATCGAGAAAAAAATAATGTGGTTAAAATAGCCGAATTCCAGTGTCCAACACTAACTACCCACTTCACGCATGCCATAGCTGACTTGGGAATAACTTAGACCAACTGGGATTCTGTAACACCTACTTTTTAAGAATAGTAAAACACCAGATCAACCTAAAACAGCTCCCCAAACAGTGGGCGGGACATAAGAAAAAAGAAATTGTAGGCCTTTTCACCCAGATCATAGCTAAACCCGCCATCTTCACTTCCGGCAAAACTCACCCCCAAAAGCGCTCCGAATAATCCTTGTTTTCAAACCTGTCATGGCCACCCCGTCTAACCCCTCTGATTCGTAAGTCTCTTAAAGCATTCCCATATTATTTGTTTTTTTTTTGTATTTGTTGTCAATTTTTCTTTTTTAATTATTACAATTACTTTGTTAGTATTTATTTTTTAATCTGTATTTATAGAGAGGTTGTTTATCGGAGGCAAAACAAGGGACCCCCTTTCAAGTTCCTAGTCCCTTTAGTCTATGCCCCGGTTCTCCCTTTGAGTAAGTCTTAAATCTCTCTCATTTTCCCCCTTTTTTGGTGAATTTGATATCTGGGTTTTGTTTTTCAGATGTTAATCTTATATGGGTTCGTCATGGTTTTTCCTTTTTTTTTTTCTTTTTACAGTTCGGCTTTCTTTGAGGAAGAATCCAGTTTTAAGGGACCGCTTGTTTACTCTTGTATTGGCTGGGGCTTTTGTTCATGGTTCTTATCTGGTGTATCCTTATTCTTTAATTTTATTTTTGCTTTAATTATTATAACCTGATTGTTGATTCTCGTTTATTTTCTGTTAATCATTCGTGCTTAAATTATTGAGTAGTGCTACTGCATATTCTCTTTATGTGCTCACTGCCTTTACAGAAATTGGAGATTCTTGTTCCATTTTCTGTGATCTGAACTATATATGCTCTACGCTTACTTGATATTCTATCCTCTTTTGACTTTTCAATTATTATAGCGATTTTTTGATAGCATGTGTATTTGCTCAGTTTCGAATTGATACAACTCATACAATGCAATCACCTTTTTCATTTAGATTTGCTTCCATACTGTCTATCTGAACTGGCATTTGTGAGCATTCAAGAATTGTAAAACGTGAGTATTTTGATAGGTGCATGGATCCTCGAGCACAAAAAGTTGGGTTTGAGCCCCACCTTCCTCAAGATTGTATTTTGATAAAAACAGAAGTATTGTAAAATGTCTCACGGTAATGTTGCTGTGATATCTATATAGGACTTGTTCTCAATAGGAGGTCATTTGTGTTTAATGATACATGTTGGTTGGATAAAGTACAGATGTTGCCTTTGAGACTGTTAAGAATTGGTGGGTGCATATAAGCAAGATTGGGCTTTTAGTTGGATTATTTTATGCCTTTGAATGATTGGTTTAGTCAGGAAGGATAAGGGAAAGCATCGAGTCTATGGTGCATTGGTTTCTCAAATGCTTCAAAGTAATCATGTAAAATTCAGTTCTTTGCACTGATGCTTTAAGATTGTTGGATCCAACTTTTGCAATTGTTAAAGTGCAATTACTCTTCTGGTTACATTGGTCCTCTATACAATAGAGTTAGATGTGTGGGTCTTAGTGCAAGAAGTATTTAGAAGGTTATATTTTCTCTTATTTTGCACCAGTACTAATCAAAAACAACCGCATTAATCAATTTAAGATTCATACTCTATGAAATATGTTTAAGCTGTCAGCAAAGTCATGCTTCATATAAAATATATGATGATTGATTTCTATCTTGTGAGATCTAACATCCATTAATGCATGCATTCACGTTCCTTCCTTGGAAGGCAACAGTCAATAACTTAATACATTTTTGTAGGTGTTGCTGTTTGCTAAAAGTCAAGTTAGAACCTCATTTTACCTCACTTTAAGGTGCAAATTTATAGTAATTATATATACAAAAGCATGCCTTTACATTCCCAATTTATTCATATCTGGCATTTTCTGCCACACCTTCACCCCCCAAGAAAAAAAAAAGTTTGTTTGAAATGTGTTTTCTTCACTTTCTTGTTAAAATGTGTAACAAGGGAATTTATCTTTTCCTTTCCAGTTAATTAACAAACATGCAGAGTAAAAGGCATTACAGGATAAATTTACGAGGGCTGCGTATCAGAGAAACATACATTGAGAATTATAATAGTATTTGTTAGTTGATCAAGAATGATTTTTTACTCTCTTGTCGAATTTATTTGGCATTTAACTTTGACCTTTTCTGAAGCTGTGTTTTAGAGTTTATTACAACCTCATTTTGCATAATGCTATTGGTACAATTCCCATTTTTACATGCTTATTTTACTCACTCTGCCTTTTGTAAAATTGAACACATACAAGCTCCAAAAGTTGGAAAATTTAGCATTGCCATCTTTTTCTCTTTTTCGTTTTTGTTTGGTTGGTTTGGGTGGGGATAGGGGAATGGGGAGAGTATTATCTACGCTATCCCCCATTTCGATAGCAACGTTCCTATGATATTTCATGATTTTACAACATGCTTCCTGGGAAAATGTTGTCAAGAAAAGTTTCTTTTTCTTGAGAAACAAAAAGGTGAAGTATCTCGTTGGAATATACAAAGGCTATTTATCAGAGCAGGTGTTCAATTGGGAATGTGGAATTACTCCATAATAGATTTTTATCCATTAAATACATCTGGATCTCTTAGTTCACCTATTTCTCTTCATGTCTGTTGAGAGTAAGTTGGCTTATGTGTATTCCGATTGTTGGTGTACTCTGTACTTAATCATCATCATGAATTCATACATTGTGGTGGTGAAACTTATACATATTGTCTGTCCTATTCACTAGAAACACCTCTTAGAGATATTATCGTGTAATTATGCTCTTAGTTCTGCTTTTCCTCTTCTGTCTATTTTCCTTAATAAATTTTCAGAGCGGATCTATATGATGTTGAGAGCAAGTGAAAATGCGTTGGACTTTAGAAAGTGATTATCTCTTCAAAAATTCTTCTTGTTTTCTGGATCTCATGCAGCTTGATCTTCTGAAATTTGAGGGGCTTGGAACAAGTTGAAGATTGTATTCTTCTCATTCCGTTAATTGTGGAATGATAATTGTATTTTGCACCTATAATTCTTTTGGACCAAAGATTTAATGGCTGCAGGTTGCGGAATTAGTTTCAGTTTTAAAGAGAAATAAGATAAGAGTGAGCTGCTTTTGTTAAATTGTAACTGCTCTATTGTGGGAAATGTCATGTGGTTGATGTGCAGGCTACATTTATATGCATTTGAAGTAGGGGGACTACAATACCGGGAATTTTGCCTGAAGAATAGGTAACTCCATTGTTTTTAAAAGTAGAAAAAAAACTCTGCCATCCTTGCATCATGCATTGCTGATCTGCACCATTCTCATGTAATGGTTTTGAAGACAATGATTGGCAAAGGAATTTTAGATGTTGCAAGAGATTTTTTTTTTGACAGTTAAACCCAGTAGCGTACTCAAGTTTGCTTGGATATACTTGTAGTTTTTATTCCATACTTATTATTTACATAATTTTGAACTTGTTGGGGTTTCCGTTTAAAGTAGAACAGAGAGGAAACAATGAACAAGTGGCTGGCTGTATGTGTCCTGGAGCAGGACCACCGTGTCATGTGCTCTATGGCATGCTTGTTGCCTTCTTGGACATTTTTAGCTTTCTTTGTCAGCACTTTTTCACGCAATTTTCATGTGTAAATTAAAACTCTGCGGGCAGAAAATTTTGTTTTCCAAGGGCACAGACAAGTCGTGCCTGAGTGTCGTGGCCTTTCAGAGCCATCTGCAACAGTTATGGGCATCAAGAACCAGCTTTTGAAAGCAAAAACCATTGGAGCAAACTTATCAGCCTAATTCCAGACATTATAACTCTTCCAGTTACAGCACAGCGTGCTGAATCTTTTAGCAGGTTCATAGTTTGTACGGTGAAACGTTTGAAAAATAGCAGTAACAAGAGAAGAAGACTTTACGTTAGCTTTTAGCAGCACTTCCCTGGAAAAGCAATTTTGAAGATGTGGGTTGTAGGTTAAACAGAGGGAAACTGTCCTCAGAGCCAGTCATGGGTCAGGCCACTCAGGCCTACGGCTTAGCACTTGTCTTATAGCATTTCGTTTGGGTTTCAACTTTCAAGCCAGGCCTATTATAGTCATCATGCTCAAATTTCTTGCTGGCTTTCTCTTTTCCATTCCTTTCCCGACTCTTCCCCTCATGGCTTCTTCCTCCCGGCTTTGGGCACTTCTCACATGTAGTTGTATGCGTATAGTAAATTTTATATCCAAGTCTTCATTTTTTTTAAATAAATAAAAAGTGGTAGATCATGCATGACTTAATGCTAAGAAAAATTTATATTCGACTTTTGAAAGAGTAACCTCCAAAGAGACCATTCTTTCCTAACTTTTTTTTCTTTTTGTACTTAGCATGCATTCTGCATGAGTCTCAAAAAGATTGTCCACCTTTTACCATAAAAACTTTGCTGGACAATGAATGTGATATTATATGTTTGACACATAACACCTCCGACGTTAATTAACCCCAGGCCCAGGGCAACTAGCCTAACACGACGGCATCTTAGCATATTCCTGTTTCGATTCTTTGATTTATTTCCTCTAGCATATTTGGCAACTTGGAGAATCCTAGTCGAAGATCCAAACTCAAGTTAGACCAGAAACGCATCAAGGCTGCACGTGGTGGGATCCGGACCAACACATCACTCAATCCTTAATCCAATGCTTTCCTCCTAATCTGCGTCGTCCTTGTCATCTTTTAGTATTTAAAACCCGCGAATGAGGTTATTGATGCGACACAAATCAAAGCAAAATAATCCAGAAAGATTGATAAATTAAACGATTTCAAAATGATTCTATGTACATCAAACCTTCAATAATTACATTTTGCTTCATCGTCTCTTACACGAAACTCATTTCAAACGATGAACACATCGTCACCACTCACCCGTTCCATCATTTAACTTTTCCAATTTTTTTAAAGCCCCTAAAAAACTGGACATAAATATATATATATAGTTATATAGTTCAAAATTACACAAAAAAAAAATTAAAAGTTCATATGACGCCCTGACTCGCCGCCGGAGACTCTATAGATCGGAGGGATCCTTGAAACTGGAGGCGAGTCGAGAAGCGATCGCTGAGTGGTACATAACATCGTGAAACGATGACGTTTTGGTCGTCATCATCCGGAGCTGCCTCGCCTTCTCCTCCGTGAAGCAACCCAGGGAGAACTTCGTTCTCGCCGACTGCTGTCTCAGATCCGTTTCCGATTCGCCTTGTCTTCTCTCCTTGGCCTCAGTTTTCTGATCGGAGTCAATGTAGTCGGGCTCGGAGGACCATCCAAACATAGGCGCCCACCAGTTGACGGAGGAGGAAGATGACGTACTCTTCCGGCGGTTGGAGTCGGGTTTTGGATGACCGGGAATAGCACAGGCCTGGATTCCGGCGGGCCTAAAAGTAAGAAGATGGGTACCCATTGAAACGCCTGATTATAGGGTTTTTAGAGAGAAATATAGGGTTTCTGGAATTTGTGAAAATGCTGGGGAGAAGTGGAAATTGAGGTTGGAAAGTTTATAGAGGGGTTATCGAGGAATGACGTTGGTATTAAAAAAATGGGGGGGAAGGTGGAAAGATGGTGGGGCAACGGATAAGATTGGACGCGTGGAGGTGACTCGTTCGGTTCTTTTGCCCTTTTTAATGACTTTTTAACCGGAACCTCCGGTCATTTTGGTCTGGTTCTGTGGGTCATGGGAAAGGATATGGCGATGACTAGGATGGGCGTGGATTATGACACATCCATTTGACTATTTTACCCTCGTTCAATGCTAGGACATCAAGCTCGTTTGGACATATCTAGACATTATCTTTATGAGTTTCCAAACTTCATTTTATTCTCATTGACCCCCTTATTTTATTTTGTAATCAATAATTTAAGGGTCGATTGTACCAAGACTTAAGGAATGGAGTCCCACTTTATGTAGCTGGCCTTGCACCGAAAAGAGAGCAAAACGGAAGGCTATGAAGATCCATATCCATAATATCTCAAGCAAATAACCAAAAAGGCATATGAAGATTCATCTCCAATAGACTTTACTTGGTCTATTTTAACATTCAAACTCCCACTTTCAATACACTCAAATTTCAATCATTAAGGTGTTTTTCTTGAAGATAACTCATAGAGCATTTTTTTTCCCTTGAATTTTGTTGTTATAGACTATTCCTTGTCATGCTTTAATTTGACCCATTTCTGTTAATACAAAGATGAATTGTTCTTATGGTAAATAATTGGTAACTCCAACAGATATAATCATTTAACTCTCCTTTCTGATGCTTGCATGTTAAAGATCAGACCGATATTTGCATGCAATTTGTCTTCCTTTGATTAGCATATTTGTCAGAATATACATAGAAGTCGGTGAAACTGGACATACATGAGCGAGTCATTCTCAATCTCAACGTTATTGTGATATATGCGAGTTTGAACGCTGAAACGCTCAAAAAAACTGGAGTTTTTATAACTTTGCTAAGAAAAGGTAGTTTCCCACTACCCTTCCTCTCCTGAGCTTCCCGTGGGTGCACGAGACAAGCATGTGGAATTTTGTGTGTTTTGGAGGCATTCAATCAACGGGGTGGAAACGCGGATTCTCTGGAGAAATTTGCAAGGGGGTATGTCTTCGTATGTATCCGGCCAGTGTCCTTATCTTGGTTAGCCGGCTCTGTCTTTTTGTTGGGAAATCAAGCTGGCAAATTTGAACAGTCCAATTGGCAGGTTAGACTGTAGAGCCACACCCTTCCAAGTTCCAAGTTGAGACTTGCAACCATGGCCGTCCGTTGTTTCTGGGTCAAGGATTGGTTTTCAACCTTCGGCCCAGCCGGACGTATCGAACACTATTTACCCTAAGTTAATATATGGTGACATCTACCATTTTCGTGGATGGTTTTTAATCAAGCATGTTAGTTTAAACACTCTAATTTATATAAAAATTGACAAAATATAGTTTTTTTTTATCATATATCGTGTTTAGTTTTGCCTTCGCTATAATGCAATCCTGCGAAGCTATGTGCTTTCGGATAAGATTGTTTGATTAAGACTGTAGTACACTGTAGACGAAGAACAAATGAGAATGGACTCACGAGGCGAGACTGCTAGGTGAGAGTTGCACATAATCATCTAATTGTAAGCTCTGTGTCTGTTCTGAGTAGGCAAATGTAACTTTCAAAGCGCATTGTCGATACGCCAAGCATTAGCTATCTGGGACAAAAAGATAAGGACTGAGAAAAAAGAGTTGCCATAACAAGCTTGACCGACCAAGACATCACACCCGATGGATACATGCCCACCTTCTAACGTAGCCCATTGGCCTCCTAATGAGAGAGGTTAACCCCCACTTGACCCAACAAGGTGTTTGTAGAGGATTCTTTTGGTAAAATGAAAATTAATGTTGCAACAAAGAAAGTGAGATACATTATAGGCGATAGAAAGAATATTGCAGCAAATTTTGAAGTCTTTTTTAAGTGCTTTTGTGGAGTGAAGAAAAGAAAATAGACTATTTGGTAAGTGGAGGTTTTTTTAGAGAGAATATCGTAAAGTCAATAATATGTTAGATAGTGTGTCTCTTATTAATTTTTAATTTATAAACATAAAGTAGAAACGGTTTCTTAAAAATTGTTGTTTAGAAATTGTTTATTAGACATCATGAGAAAAACATGTTTAAGGAGATTATGCTCATTATGGAAGAACATTGATCCATTATATAAGAATACGTTGACTATGGGTATAACACGATAACTCACTATGTATATTTGGTAGTAAACATATGTTTTGGTTTAATGACAATGGAGTTTAGTAACATTTAAGAATACATCACTTGTTTCTTAAAAACCAGAGAAAAAATAAAGTATTTGTATTCAAAAAAAAATGTTGAGAATAAGATCTTTTAACCATCTTCACATCTAAATCACCAATCTAAATCTTTTAAAACATCTCAATAGTGAAATTAACTTGTAAATTCTATCACTTGTTCCTACTTATGTTCACCTATTGGAGCAGTGAATTTTGCTAGTCAATATTTCATGAACTTTCGATACTAGGATAATACAAGACGATGAATGGGCGACCAAGCCCAATGAGACCTAACTTCGTTTACTAGGCTGGGCTTAAAGAGACACCAAAGAAGGAGGGCTTT